GAGGTGGAGACACCTACCTTGCAGAGAGACAGATGTCCAAGCTTTGAAAGTTAATTTCCGAGGTATTGTATAGTGTTAATAAAATTAAATTCTATCCTGCACACTAGTGAAATCAGACTTATCTGTCAGACCATTTTTTTCATCCACTTAGTTTTTTCCTTGCATTCCATGATTAGGCAATAACTAAATTGACATATTAATCTGGCTACGGTCCACTGCACAAACACTGACTCAGTCATCATCAGCAGTGATGTGTTCCTTTTTCAAATTCTCTGGAAACTGACTGGATTACTTGCCTAGCTTTTAAAGATAACAATAAAAAAAAATTGTCCATACAACTGTAGAGTATTTTTCCATTTTGTGTTGACAGTTATACAGCTGCAGAGGTCAACAGCCTCTGTGCCTTATAGTATACTGCAGGTGTGTCCACACGTTAGTGGTTTGGGAACATTTCAAATGAGCAGACATATATTATATAACATAATATACATATATTTACATAAACGTATAAATAAATACACATATGAATATATGTAAATATTAACATTATATTTTAGTTGTTTAAATGCATGTAGCTGAATGGCACGATTTGATTCCATATGTAAGTAATATATAATAGTTACTTATTTAGTTCCAAAGATGTCTTTGAAAAATAGAATGACATCTTGACTAACGCAAAAATCTGTGAAACGAAGAATAATTTAACTGCACTTCACACGGACGTTGTTACAACGCACGCTCACACTTAGCATTGCTTACTGTACGTAAGGTATTTAGGCGACAATCGCCGTATTAACTCAGTCTCAAACACATTTGATACATTTCCAATATACGTGTGCGCTACTTATACAACTGTATCCATAACTTTTGTATAGTTTTGAGTCCCTATTACTTACCTGAAAACGCAGAGCCGTAGGTATCACTAATTGTCACTTGCTAATTAAGTGACAACTTCACCTAGAAGACCCTTAAGGTGTCCTCTCAGTGCCTGTCCACATGTGGCCAAATCGTTGCCATCAAGAGACAGAATACACTGCTGTTGTACATAAACAAATGAACATGAATTAAAACATAAAGTAATAATAAAAATAATATACGAGATAAACTTATTGGGCCTCTTTATTCATTCAAGAAAATAGTATATACGCTATTTCAAAATTAAATTAAACATTAAACGTAAGGTGAGATTTATGAACATGCAACAACTTTCCCATGGGGCAAATTAGCCATGCTTTTATCTAGTATCAATGTATACAGGAGCACAAAATAAACCAAAATGACCAAAGGGCAACACAAAAACTAAATATTAAATTAAGGGTATCTGGAAAAGAAATACATAAAAAAAAGAAAAGAAATTGAGCCAGACCAGATGTACACAAAGGCTCTGTTTCTCACTGGAAGTGTACGAGCAACTTGTGGCTAGGCGTCTTGTCCAGGAACACTTCAGCATGCAGCTGAAATTGAACCCCCACTGTTACATCCCTGACCAGCTGACCACAAGCCTTAGTGCTTGGAGCCCATATAGGATAGTCCAAGTATTTTCAACATCGCTTCCAACAGTTGTTTATGTAAAAAAATATCCATCAGAACCTCATCCACGTGTATACTATTTTTTACTCCCCTTTTTAAACTCCATACAGTTATCCGTTCTACTATGCTGGAGAGTGGAATAATAACAATATTCCTCATCCGATGTGGTTAGTATGAAGAAAATAAAAAGATGTGGAAATGGTTTTGTGGGAAAAAGAAACTAAACCATGCAAAAGCATGACACCCTGTCATGTGGATATTACTTGGTTTCATTTGGAAAATATGTAGAGTAAACACAGACAATATTTAATGGGCTCATTGGGGAAAGTTTGCTCTGCAAAGTGAAGTAAAAGTGCTGGGCTCAGCTTGAAGAGGCTGCCAAACCTGCGTCATCCTAACGCAGCTTCGACTGCAGTCCAAACCAGAGGAGTCAGGAGTTTTAAAGACTTGGCTTTGATGAATGGACTGTGTATTATTACTCGCGTGTCTTTGATTCGTCTGCACTTCCACACTAAGCTCTAAAATCTTAGATCTCCAGATCCTACGCTGGGTTTTTCATTTCTATGAATGGCTGCGTTTGTGTTGATGCTGAGCTGAGTGTCACATGTCAGTGAGCTGCAGGTGAGAAACAGGATGTGAAGGATTTTACACTGAGACCCGTCAGCTTTTAAGGTAAAAGAGGAGCTTAGAGATAAATCACAACCTGGGACAGAAATTAAGGGTTTAATGTGTGAGAGTGTGTGAAACACTGAGAAACAACATTAACACTCAGTCCTTTGTACTCCAATGCCTATAAGCTGATGTGGATATGCCTTACTTATACTTATACCTATAATACCGGTAATAAAATATTATAATTAAATTATATTTTATATAGAAAAGGTAGATAAAACATTTAATTTAGTCAAAAAGTGAAAAAATAATTGAAGTTGGACCGTATAGAAGAATTCAAAAGGTCAGTGAAAAAATAATTGAAGTTGGACCGTGTAAAAATTTTAATATTTAGCTAAAAGATCGAATTTAGCCAAAAAACTGAAACCAAAAATTTAGCCAAAAATACAAGAATTCAAAAGGTCAGCATAAATATTATTAGAGTTGGACCAAGAAAAAGAAAAACATTTGTGACAAAAACATAAATATGAACAATAAAAAAAGTTATTAAAGTTCATGGAATTTGGTCAAAATTTAGTATATAATGTGCTTATATGTGTATGTTTCCCATTTTCATGCAAACGTATATAAAAAGTAGCTGAATATTTAAAAATTAAGTGTCAGTTAGACAGACAAAACACTGCAAATCACTAGAAATTCACCTTAAAATAGCCAAAATCTAGGATTAAAGGCCAATACACACGCAAATCGTTACTAAGAGAAACCATAGTAAACAAACGTTAGCCAAAACATTGACAAACTCGATCCAGGAATACGTCCAAAGCAGTGAGCAAGTGTGAAATCGGGAAAGAAAGAGGGAATCTCTGGTGGTAAAGACAGGGGGAAATAATTACCCCTGTCTCGTGACAATGGAGGCTGATTTACGCCTCTCCAATTAAAGTGTCAGGAGGATACACCAGCGCAATGCAGCGCGTCACTGGGACAGACTGCACATGCTTATCACTGAGGAGGGAAGAAGGCGAAGAAGTAAAATGGAAAGACGTGGGCGAGGGCTTAATAGAGCTGAGGCCAATCCTTTTACTCTCGTGATCCTTGGCTGTAAATTAACTTAATGAGCGCGGTGCAAAAGCAATGCTAACAAAAAGCAGACAGGTGTAATGTCAGGCAAGAGACGTGATCATGGGGGGGTTCTACAGTAGGAGGTGGCTGACGAATTAAAGGATACTCGGTGTGACGTCCTTCCACCAGCTCTTCACGCTTCACTTAGATCTGAGCTAACGTGTAGCCCAAGCCTTTGAACAACCTGCCGCTTGTTAGCGCTGCAGATGTTTCACATTTGTCACACTCATGTTAATCGCACACGTCAAGGTCGGGGTAGGAGCCACCTCCTGTGACGATGGCCGTATCACACACGGGCACGTGTATGTACTTTGCACAACGCCCTACTGTCACAAGGGTTAACTGCAGCCCACTAATAGACTGGTGTCACCACTGGTGTAATGTTTTACTGGGGGTCGCAGCTCCATAGGTTCTCTTTGACTTTCTGCTGCTCTCTCTCCTGTGGTGCCTGGCTTTGAGGAACATAATCGGCCAAATACAGGAAATCCACTTTATTTCCTATGAGGTTCAACATCCAGGAGCACTCTTAGGGTTGTTATGCCAATAAAAGTGGACTGTGACTGACGACATCAGCCAAAACAAAAAAACAAAAAATCAATTTTCTGTAATTCAATCTAATCTGAACTATCCCAAAGTTGGTCCATATATATACCGTAGTCAAATGCGTACAAACTAGCCTTAAGGAAAAAAAAAAACATCCTGTAACTGGCCTGAGTTTAGACAAAAGGAAAGTCAAAATTAGCTAATGCAGACTTAACATATCAGTAAAGTGATCTCTTTAATCCCAATGTGGGCTACCTTGCTAACAGCTAACATTTAACCATTTAGTAAAAAGTAGTTTTATTTTCCGGTCTAGTTAGTCACTCTTTGTGTATATTTAGTAGGCCATGGAATGTAACTGCAGATAGGAGTATTTTGTATTCAAATTGTCATCTATGTATTACAGCAGAACATGTACTCACGTGCTACTAGCTTAAAATGGAAACTAGCCATGCTGCTTTTTTTCCCTCTTTTTCCTGATGATGCAAATCTTTTTTTAACTTCAACTTTTCTACTTGTCTTAAAAAGAGCAGATCATCAACTTCAAACCAAAGTCTTGGCCAGTCCTCAAAATATCATCTGTGGCTCTTGAGGCCCAATTTAATGCCTCAAGCGTTTTGAAGTGGCAACTCCGTATTTTCCTCTCGAACTGCTCCTCTTCAGGCATTTCTACTTCACTCAGCGGTGCACTCACTGACAGCTCTGTTCAAATTGAGCATAATGGACCTTCCGTCTTTTCCAAGTGTTTATTTCATACTGCAATAAAGTTTAATACACAAGCGAGGTGAGCAACGCCACTCGAAGCGCTTCGACAGAACACGGTGGATTCACGGGTGGTCCGTGTCTGGACGGTGATTATTGAAATGTCATTTTCAGATGTCATTCAGTGTCATTTTCCAGGCGTGTGGTCCGGTGAGTCCACTGTTCATGTGTGTGCTTCTTCTTGCAGAAGTAAAACACAGATTATATTTTTCCATCAGGGCAACTGCTACTGCCGGGATGTTCATTCCATCTGTGCCGTTTGTGCGAAGGAAAAGGAAAACAAAAGACGCAGTCCTGAGTAATGGCGCTGCTAATTAGCTGCCAGGCAGCGCAGGGCAAAAACCTGATGAATGCTGAAGTGGAATAGGAGTGAAGCGATAGTTAGCTTCACTCCGGGTGATTCCCATTTAAGGAGGCTGATGGAGAAGGTTTGTTAAGGCTGTGATGCGAACTGAGACGTGGAACGCTGCCAAAATCGCGCTCGGTGTCAGAACAGCTTGAGAGAAATCTTCCCTCACCTTCCACAATGTCAAAGCATCTGTCGGAAGTCGTACATTACTGGGCATGAAGAGTGAGGACGGAACACACGAGCTGAGGTCATAATGTGGACAGACGTCGAGTGAAGGAGAGATGGAGTGTGGCCTTCACAGATAGGGGGGGGAGAGGGAGAGAGAGAGAGAGAGGGTCATTTACATTAAAGGAGGACGAAGGAAAAAGGCACAGAAGTAAAACAGTATTAAAGGAGGACAAAGGAAAAAGGCACAGAAGTAAAACAGTACCATGGAGGGCAACACGGGTGGCTTGGGTTCTCCTGTAACCAGGGGACCTTGGTTCAATTCCCGTTGAATATGAATGAGTCCCTGGAATAAACCCAGCCTGTGTTCTCGCAGTCACTTCCCAAACCTGTCAGTTACAATATCAGGTGTTGAAATATCTGTTTAATCACATGATTTGCTAACAAAATTAGCTGCTAAAACTGACTCGGTAGCAATAAAACTAATGAACCCATGAAAATGTCTCCTGTTTTCATCCGAACTAACTGAACACACACCCAGACGCACATGGTGTCACTCAGCGAGGTATGCACCCCAAACCCAGAAGATACATTTCTGGGAAGCCAGAATGGTTTGGAGATGTTGGTTGTTTTTAATATATGGTATATTTATATGAACTGTATATTTTACAGTCTGGCAAAGTGGCCTTCACAAACCACAGAGGCTAGAAAACACAAAATAAACCTCATTCTTGCCTGATTATCAAACACTGTTAATGTTTGACATTTAAGCAACAACAACTCACTGGAAGACGTCCAACCAGATTTAAGTCTGTAATTGAGATATTTCAATGAAGAAAAATGTTATGATTTACAACAACCCCCTCCAACCCAACCACCAAAAAAACAAACAAAAAAAAACAGGTCATCAGAAATTGGTCAACCTAAAACTAATTCATATCTTGAAGCCAGTCTCAGCCGACCTCAGACAGTGATTGGTTGGACCCTGGACAGTTCTGCAGTCCATCACTGTGCCACATATGCACATTGAATTGAAACAGCTCTCCTTCTTGAGAGAATTTACACGGGGGAGGGGAGATGGGGAAAGGGGGGGGGGCTACTTCCCATGACTCCTGTTACGATACTGAACTTCACAGAGAGATCGAAACAGATTTAACAGAATCATTGCAACATCCATGTTCTTAAGTCTTGACAAACTTACATCAACTGTTGTAGTGTCTGTGTGCTTCTCGAACGCAACTCGGGTTGGATTTATGCCTTGTTTACTGGTCTCTTAGCAATTTCCCAAATATCAGAAGCCCTCTGTCAAAACTCTGTGAAGATAATTCCTTCAGAATTCCACACTGTACAGGAATTACAGACACTGTAATTCCTGTAACGATCACAGAACGTTATCTGTCTGTGTGGATCAAGGTAAATTACTTTCAAATGATTGCAATCAACCTCTTACATTTGAGTTCCTTCACTAACCACCAACTGATTCAGGAGAACATGTGATGTTTTCCCAACAGCTAGCAGTTCAAAGCTTTGGTTTCCTCAGTCTGGGAAAATAATTGTTTTTGGTCTGACTTCATAATTAAAAGTTTCTTTTATACACCCATTGGTATTATGGTCGGAATTTAATTGTGTTGGGATTCTGAAACAGAAAGTGGTGAATAGGATGAGACATTTTATGTGAAACTTTTCTTCTTGTTATATGACTCAATTTCAGGTCTCTAAATTGCTTTTCTTGGCTTTTTTTTAAAACAATTTATCTGTTATATCTGTCAACTACATTCACAAATTAGTATGAAGTCACCGTTGTAGCTTACGTTAGCTCTCGTCTCTGTACCAGGACTGTTGTAGCTAATGTTAGCTCTCGTGTCTCCATCAGGACTGTTGTAGTTAATGTTAGCTCTCACCGCTGTACCAGGACTGTTGTAGCTAGCATTAGCTAACATTAGCTCTGGTGTCTGTTTCTGGACTGCTATAGCTAACATTAGCTCTCTCCTCTGTAACAGGACTGTTGTAGCTAACGTTAGCTCTGGTGTCTGTTTGTTTTACATTGAGATGGTACTGTAAGCTGTTAACCTAAACCTAAACGTTTTTTAGGAAGCCTGGCCACTTTAGGTTACCACCTGACTTTTTAGCCAACTATAAATCCACCCACAGGTCCAACATGTGCATGATGACTGAGATAATTCACATTACAGCAGGAACATGTGTACCTCTGACAGGGCTGTCAAATGAGAACGTCAACTATCTGTGAAATGCCTCGCCGTGTAAATAGGCTTATCAGGCTGAGATTTAGACACCGTGAGATAATCGGCCCCAGAGAGTTTGATCCTGGAGAGAGCTGTTGGACTGGAGCGAGGGGCAGCTGTTGGAAGGCGAGTCTGGGAATTGAATCCTGGAATAATAGACATGCTGAACAGCAGAAAGGTTGTAATGATGATGGATTCGCAGGAGCTGCTGGCCACCGACATGAGGATGTTCATGTGGTGTTGTAATAACAGAAAATGGATTGTTGGATGAAATCTGATGCTGGGCTGTTGCCGCACGTGATAAAAGTAATTGGGAGCCAAAGTGAAACTGGTGAGATCCTGACAATTATCCTGGCAACACCTGGTACCTGGAGTTGTTTGAGTACTTGCTGAGACTGGAACAGTGTAGCTACAATATAACGGAATCCTTAGGAACATGTGGTCCATCAAAGTTAATCACGGGGTTTTGTCCACATTGCAGATCTGTCCTGGAGAAGCTGTAACACCAATTATATTTGGTCCAGTCCTGTAGATTGGTGGCGTCGCACAAAAACTTCTATCACCACTGAGATGTCAAAAATAACGCTCCAATCGTACCCACAAATCGAAAAAGTGTCTCCTTCTGAAAACTGTATAATAAATAGTGAATGAGAACCATTCTACTGGCAGGCGCAGACACTCGGCTGATGTTATCAGCTAAATAAGTTATTTTAATGATGAGCACGCCAGTGGGACAAAGGCGGGCCTGAAGATTGAGTAGAAACGATGGCACGTTATGCCAAACACACACACACACACACACACACACTGATAACTCGTTCTCAGCGTCATCATCAACACGGGCGTAAATCTATTTTGCTCGGTCAGGCAGAAATCATTAACTCTACGAGGCAGTTTCTGTCTTGTTGCTGTTGCTTCGACTGCGTTCTCACTACATTTCAGGCCTCATTTCACCGAATTCTCAATCAATGTGCACTGATTTAACAATTAAATCTATTCATGCAACAAACAACTTTTCTATTTGTAGTGTTTGGGAGGCATTGAAAAAAAAAGGTGACAATTGACAAAATCTTATCTAGAGTCCTCTGTGCAGGACAACCGACAGCTGGAGAAGCTGTTTGTCTCCTTTGTTGGTTGATTTTGTGTGGACTAACTTTGGTCAGCTTTGATCTATCTTCAGTTATCTTGTCTATTAGCGCTTTTCGAGGGCTAACGTTAAGTTATTTTTAGCTGTTTAGCTGCTTCTGCAAACCTTGTGTTACTCTGCTGTTGGTCAAACATCAACTTATTTGTTTTATGTCTTATTTTGCTAACGTTGCTAACATCTTTGCTACTGATTTAGTTTTTTAATGTGTATCTAGCTATTGTTAGGCTAATAAGTATTTTTTAGGTGTTACATTTTTTGGCTAATATTTAGCTGGACATACCATACTCCTTTTTGTATGCTACAGATATGGCAAAAATATGACTTCTAGTACCAGTAAATATATTTTTTTGTATAGTTGGCTAATATTTGATCTATATGGTGGCTTATTTTGTGCCACATCTGGGCATTTTTAAAGAAATCCTTGAGGCAAACTGTAAGGCAGATTTGTGGCTACTTATGTCACAACTATCAATACCTTTTAAAGATCTTGAAAAACTGTTATATTGCTAAAATATGATTAATATATGTCATTCTGGGCATCATTCATCTATATTTCACCTATTTCTGCTACTGATTTGCCATTTTTCTGACATGAGCAATTAATCATTGGAACTCCTTATACAGTAAAGTAAACCAAAAGTCAGGGCGTTCCGTGCTGTGAGCATGAATGGTAGCTGATAGCAGCTGATTGGAAAAGCTGTTTTTCCTCCTTTTAGTGGGGTCCGTGTCCAGTCAGGTCGGCTCATGTTGGTTTAACCTGTGGTTAAACCCCCAAATATCAGCAGGGAGGCTAATTCGGTTCAGTGAATTGAGACTGTGATAGGATCTGCTGTGATTACTTTGACAGTAAACACGCCCAGCGATTGATCCTCAGATACCACATTCCAAATGGAGGGAAATCTTCAGGAGAGCGAAGAGAAAACAGCCTGTTGCAGCAGGAACATTCCATCCCTGAAACATTTATCATACTTTACATGACCGGAGTCTGAGATGGGAGGGAGGGTTCAATTCCTGTAATTTCACTGTCACTGTGGATAAATCCTCTGAGCTCAGATCTACGTGCAGCTGCTTCGCTGTAGAGTCCAATTGATGGCAATAAATATTCTGTTGGTGTTCTCCAGCTTTAAGGGGATCGTGTCATCGTCCAGACTGGTCATGATTGTCTGATTGAACCTTCATTACAGGGTCGAGGGGGTCAACGGTCTAACATCGACTCGGTGTCAATCACAGATTGACCTCAGCGGCCGGGTCGGGAATGAAGGAGATGTAGATTTTCTGCTGAGGCTGTAAATCCTTCGAATCAGTCAAAACAAAGTGTTTTTTAAAGGCTGGAATGGTTTTAATAAAATCTGAGTGATGAGAGTGAAAATCAAGGACTATGTCAGCAGTCTACCACACGATGGTGGTACAGGGAACTTTGTTATTGATGTGTACGCTTTATGCTTTAGGCCTGCCAAGATTACGATGACAACAGAGAGCTGATTACTAATACGTCCACAACAATGCAGTGATATGACCCTGTAGACTGACCACATGGACCAGAAGCATTCACATCACATCCACATCCATTCTTATTATGCAGAATATGGCCAAATATTACAGAAGGCCAAACCAAAAACCCACAAAGCTATTTCTAGGAATTTATCCCATTGTACTCCAACATACTACAATACTTTTTATTTACATTTTACCCTGGTGGATTATTGTGGATATTACTGCGGACCTTTTTTTTTTCTTGTATTGGATCATTGACATAACAATACACGTACAATTGCGTGAAGCATTAACTACGAATAATCATGCAGTCGTGATGAAGTAAATATTAATGACGCTAATAGGGATATGTTAGCTAGCATAGCAGATAGATACGTAAATGGATGGATGGATGTAGGTCATTGTGTTTTACTGTACTGTACCTTGGTGTTTTGGGATCCACATACAGCTCAGACAAATGAGAACGTGTTTGGAACAACCTGCTGTGAAACGGTGCCAACATCATTATGTGGATTACACGCTGTTATCCCTGTAGAAGAGAGGAGGCCAAAAGTGATTCTTTATTTTCATTTAAACAACTAAAGTGCCGTACTGTACCGTCACATGCTCGTCCTCTGGGCTTCAAACATCTGGTAGAGAATCTGTCCACGTAGCCGACGTCGTAGTGAGAGTTTATTTGGACTTCGTAAATTAAATAAAGACGTTAATGTAACTTGTTTCCTTGAATCTCCTGAGGGATATTTTCATGAGCCGCGACAAACACTACAGTACGTGTAACGTCTGGCAAGAGGAAGTGTAAAAATTCTGCGTGAGTGTTTAAGCTAAGGAGTGTGAACATCATCAGTCTAAGACAATGTAAACACCTGAAGTTCTCCGAACAGCACAAGGGACACCATCAGTTTAAACACCACCTGACAGCTAAATGGAGCCTTCTGTAGCATCTGGGCCAGTGTTTGAAGTTGGAGGATGGATGTATTTTTGGGCTAAATAAACTCCAGGCTTCACATGTGGCACAGTGGACAGACTCTTTGCAGCTTCTTAAGTCACTGCATTTGCAACAAAGGCCAAAATCAATACAAATTTGGAACACATTTCTGATTTGTTACAATAAATAAACAAGTGATGCCTTCAGGCGATATTGGGAAAAAACCCACAAAATATCAGGTTAAAGTCAAGGGCGGAAACTGCTGCTGAATAGGCATGACCTTTAATCCTTTATGTAATACTGCGTTAGAAATAGGGATGGCCGATAATATCGGTTGGCCAATATTAGCTAAATGATGTGATATCGGTAAGAGTTCTTTCCTACCCAACCCAATACCGCCCAGATGATGTGACCTAAAAATATTTTTGAAGTGAAAGTGAAACTATTATTTGTATTGTGCACAGTATCATCATTGTAACAAAGCACACCACTACACACGTGTGTCCTCTGCCTTTGACACAAACGGCTGCATATATCGGTATCGGGTGATATCGGAGTGTTTGGACGATGTCGGATATCAGCAAAAAGTTCATTTCAGACATCTCTAGTTAGAAACCATGCTAGCTAATTGTTGGAACTTTCTAGTGGTGACTAAGGACTGTTGAGCAACATCAGACAAAGTCCAACAGTTGTCTTTTCCATGACCTTTTATGGCAAATTTGTTTGTCATGTCTTTCTATCCGTTTTCCTTGATAAATAAAGGATAAAGTACATTACTAAATTACAGATTTTCTTTTTGTCATTGCATGGCATACAAAGTATACCTTTTTGCAGATGAGGTTTGTGTCTACATGAACAAATTGTTTGGATTTGTGTTGCCTTCGGCCCCCAGACACACACCCACCCACACACACACACACACACATAGTACCTGTATTGTGTACAGATGTGCCAGGAACCAGAAAACCCCTGATCCAGACAAGCATGACGAATTGGTTGGATTTCACCTTTGGGCCAAGAGTCAAGTTGTTTTCCTATGACATGAGTAGCAGATGCATGATGTCAGATCCCGGTGTGAAGGTGACCAAACCCCCCGTGAGACAACCAAGACTCGGCTCCCAATCTACAAACCCCAGCAGCAGCTCAACATGAGCCGTGAACCTTTCAGGTACCAGATACCCGGCTCAAATTATTCCCTCCCAGCGGAGCTGCTGGCTTTCCTCCTCCTTTCACCTTCACCCGCCATTCAACCCAACGCTCCCTGGACGCCCACCAAAGCTGTTCACCTGGTGAAGAAGCCACGGAGGGCAGGAGGAGGTTCAAGTCATACCGCAGCTCCTGGGTCACGGTCTCACTGTGTCCTTGTCTTGGTTTCTTTTCGTCATTTATGAAACATTACACAGACCCTTCACTTTGAAAGCCCCGTCTGAGACTTTCCACCACATTAAAAATTTCCTCTTTCAACAGCTACAAATCCTGAAAGTGCTAATGTTACAGCACAGCTGTAGTAGTAGATGGAAATCTGTCTTGACGCAGCAGATGTTGAATTTAAGACTGTATCTGCATCATTGCTGGATTAAAGTGGATTTCGTGCAGCTGTTTTTTTAACACTTTAGCACACAAAAATGTTTCTCTTTTTCCCCGAGGAATTTATACATATAGCTACCAGAAGTCATCGCCACATGCAGCAGTAAATTTAAGGGTTTTCAACCAGATTTTGGATTTTGGAATTTCTGATCTTCTCAAAGACAAATATTTTCTGTTTTGGACGAACCGAGAATCAGAAAATTATATTTTCTGTTTTGGACGAACCGAGAAAGTCCAACGTTAACCTCCAACAAAGGCCCATTTATCAGATTAAAGGGCACGGATGACAGAAACAACGAGGACCAATTTGTTCACTCCAGCCCATCGCATATAAATTGGGGCTAGTGTAAACATCCTGCTGCGTTATAGGCTTCCTGGGGGTCGGAGGTCAACAGATGAGCGTGACGAATCACGAGATAAATCAAAGCCTGAAAGCATTCTGTGGAGCTGCAGCTAGCCTCGATTCACTGTGAATGGAGACATTTTGGCCCTGATGTCAGTGTTTGAGATGGACGGTGATAACAGTGAGCTGAGATGTGCTTTTAACAGACATGGCATTGGTAGAAAGGACAGCAACCTTACATTTGTTCTGTTCCTTAATTTTTCACCTAACCTTCACCACCACCAATCCGCAAAACGTCTACTAAAGAAAGCTTTGATTCTGGAAAATCGTAATAAAAATATGTAGTTTAGGTGGATTAAAGTCAATTAATTGACTTCAACTGTTGAAGAAGAGAACGTGTCATTCCTCCAACTGGACAGTAGGTGCTGCCAATTTCCCCAGAGCTGCCTTTTAAAGTATAACGAAGTGTATTTATCTTATTTTTTAAATGCTAAGCAGGCAAAGTAACTGAACTATCAAAAATGTACAGACAAAAACTGCTCAAATCAAACTTTATCGACTTTTCATTCCCTTTTTTTCCGACCGCGTGTTTCGCTCGAGTGAACATTTCCGTGACCCTGGTTGTGTTCTGCGTTTCTGGACTCTCGCCTGCTCCGCTCTGACTTCCTGTGTTTGGCCACCTGTTTTTCTCAGGCTGAAGACACTTGACTTCTCCTCCTGTGAGTTTCTCTGCTGGTGGGTCTCAGTTCATTTGAGCTCAGTTGTTTTTCCTACACGCCCTCCGCTGTCGTAGTCGGACGCTAAGATCTCTCAGCTTTCAAAAGGAAACCTATGCAGTTCTTCAGGGCCGGTTGTTTATTTGTATTGAAACAGTGACTGGAGCTGGGGCAGTTCCATCATTAGTCCGAGGATCAGTCATGATTAACTGCTGCCTTTAGTTACTGCTGCTGTTTACGGTTGCTGGAAGGCGGAGCTTTTCAGAAAACTGTAAAATCTATTCCCGCTCGATATTCGCTCTAATTACATACAGACCTAAAATACTACATCGTAATTAATCTTGTGTCGCCTCTGTTTTAATGTCCGACCTGAAAGAGTATTTTCTATACGTAATAAACAAATATAGCATTATAAAAATTAGGAAATGTTCACTGTTATTACATCTGGATGATCAGGTTGTCAGGTTTGTGGGGTCTCCAGTCGAGTGTGTTTGAGGAAGTGTGTACCATCAGATTCGTCAAATACAGTACTCTAGCTGACAGGCTGGGAAGCACTTTACTTAATGAGAACAAATAAAAGCAGACATGGGAAAACTACGGCCTGTGGGCCAGATACGGCCCACTGATCTTTCTATACCGGACCGCCTAACACTTGTTCAAGGTATGGTAAAGACTGACTGTCAATCAGTCTTTTTTATGTATTACAACAAATCAACTGTAATTTCAGTCGGTGCCACTAGATGGCGACAGACATTAAATGTGCAAGTCCACCGGTCAAATTTTAAATCGCATTTTGACCCGTGAGCCAAAACATTTACCGATCCCAGATAAGAAAATCGACAAGGTGTCAAATCGATAAGTGATATCGATAACGGAATCAGTATTGATAACCTTATCAATTCTGATTAATACTCATAAGGATAAAATTACACAAGGGTATAAGGAGCTTCATCACAGTCATCACCTTACAGCAATTAAAAGAGAAGGAATTCTCCAGAATGTTGTACTAAAGCTGTAATAAAAAATATCTTTCTTCTGTTGTCAGGAGATTTTTCTCTATGAACAACAAAAACTGTTGCTAGTTTTACGATCTTTTTGGCATTTGAACTCAAACGTTCCATTTCTAATACCTGTGTTTTAGAAACTACATCCACGCAGAGAGAGGATAATGACACAGGAGGATACAACAATGACTTCATCCTCATTTAGGGAGTTGCAGCTCATTACTGCAAACAGTGGAAGAAAATTATAAACAGGTGAACGCTGAGAAAAATTAGGTATAGTTTTAGAACTTGGAGCATTATCAGAAAAATTTAAACTCCAATATGTGCGTTTTATTAAGTTAAGGATTCTGATATGTCAACATCAGACCTTCCTTTGTCAATGGGAAGCAGATGGACTTGTAACCCAGCTGGCCTGGGACCCTCCCTCCTGTATTTTACCCTGAATTGTTTGTCGTTAGCTGAGCTTCACATCAATTCAATTCCAAGCAGCTCTCTGAACTGTCGCTGCCCATTTTCTTGATTACTTCATCCTGGGTTACCACCCAACCTCCTCCAGACGTCCACCCATTCAGGCTGAGATGACTTCAGGTCCGGATCGATAATCAATAGAGCCGGTGTAGCGTTTCAGTCTGCTCCCCACCCCCCAGGGGAGTGTCCAGGAGCGACAAAAAGCCAGGACTTTTAATTAGTTCCTCCCCCTGTAGTTATTCATCTCCCAGCGGCCTCCACCACAGGGAGATGAATAATGTTAATTAGCGATGGATCAGGAATGCTCAAAGGTAATTCCGTTCCGGGATCGGATTGATTGGGCCAACATTAACCTGTGGACTCATTTTCCAGAAAGGAAGAATTCGGTCAGGCATTTATCTCAGGAACTGATTGGGCTGGACACCTGCCTGCCACCAGAGGGCAGGGCCTTAGAGCAGGACAACACTTAACTGTTTCTACACACTCTAGCATTCAAGCATGTGGTATGGATTTACAATTGTACAAAAAAATAAAGCCTGAGATCCAACTGCCCTTTCTGTGATATTCTAAACTATTATTAAATTACATAAAAATGCAGTGCATTGACAAATTTGTTTAGTGCATCACAAGAGCTTTGGTTTAAGTGGTAACGTAATAAAATCCAGGCCACAAAGTTTTGGACAGTTTTCTGCAAAAACATTTCTGCTTTTCATTTGCATTTCCAATTAATGGTCCACAAGTACCACAAAAGTACCACAAAAAAGCTAAAGATAAAAGCCAGAACCATCTATTACTACTTAATATAGAGGGGGTAAAAGGTAAAAGACCAATATACATTTATATATGTGGATTAAGGAGTTAGCTTAAGTAAAAGGTAAAAGACCAATATATATTTATATATGTGGATTAAGGAGTTAGCTAAAGGTTAGCCAAATAAAGCTAACATTTAGCTAAAAGGTGGCACAATTTTCGATGCACCAGTCTCTGTGAACCAGTTACCATGAACTACCAGAGAGTTAAAAACTTTAACTTAGCTTAAAGTTAGCCAACAATACTAAAACTTAGCCAGGAGTTAATTAAAAATTGGCCAGGAAAGTCGATGAGTTGTCTTAAAGTTGGCCAAAAAAAAGTCCACTTAGCTTAAGTGCTACAATAATCTATGCACCAGCCTCTCACTCATCAGTAATGGATCACTGTGCTGTAGAGAAACGCAGAAAAATATGACACAGAAGAACCAAAGAAGAAGACAGAAACCCTTGTTAAAGGAGAGAAGCTGTCAGAAATGAAATACTACTCAGAGTAAAAAAAAAAAAAAACTTTTTAAAAGAACCCAATTTAAACTTCACTCCACTGACAGCAGCCTGAAGCAAACTTCACAGAAACCTGTTGTTTATTAGAAACTGAAACTCAACGCTACCACGGAATGAGAAGTACAGTGAACTTATGTGGAACTGTTTTACTATGAACCACCTCACACACACACACACCCTCACGACCGAGCAACAAATCTGTATCTGCCACAAGGACACTTTGAAATGTGGGCTGTAAGTGTGGGCCACATTTGGAGATATAGTGTTGAATAAATATTTTTCCAGAGAAACAACATAAGCAGGAGAGTACTGTAAGTCATGACGAGAAAAAGGAGAAAAAAAACAAACATGAAGCAGTAACATTTACTCAGCGAATTAAAACCAGGTGTGTACAATTTTACTGTCAGGAGAAGATATTTAATATCACGGGGAAAAAGTGAATTTTAACACATTTACTCTATGCAATAATAAGTCACTTTTAGGGCGCTCCTACATTCTTTGAGATTTGTTGGCAACAATGAAAAAAGCTAAATTAATCAGGTAAATTGTATAAACAGCCTTTTTTGTTGAAAACAAATTATATGAAAGATATAATTTTTTTTTATT